ATCGTATTTTCCCAGAACTTTGTAGACTTTGCACTGATAAGTGTTAAAACTGTAGTTTCTGTTGAAGATAGATTTTCTTCTGGTTTCGTTATTGTTGTTGGAACAGTCCTAAATTCAGTGGAAATATAACTCGTCTGTGGAATTTCCGTGGATGTTTGAGAAATGAGTTTTATATAGGCAATCGCAAATGAATATTTCTGATCTTGTGGGATTCCGAGAAGTTTTACATTAATCTAAAGAAAAATATAATGACATTTTGTAAGTTTCAATTAGTTGATTAACAAATCAAAAAGCAACAACAATGCCATAACGGACATCGGTAAATACCGTTAATGATTTAGATGTTAATAGTTTTCCTGTCAATATATGTAAGGTAGAATTAACAGAAGTTAACAATTATGAAAATTATAGAACATTTACTCTGATTAAAAACATCATTGGATTTAATATTTCACTAGTAGTGGTCCTTTTTTTTCCAAGTTTTTTTTTTTTTTACAATAACAGTAGTAACAAAGTCATGTTCTGTCACTTTATTTACATAAACTGAAAAGTAAACAAACCCTGAATTCTTCACTCTTCCTAATATTTTCCAGTGATATTTGAAATGTTTTCCACTTGTTGTTAACAGCTTTGTAGAAAATCACTGGTCGACTTTTATCAGTTTGCAAGTCAACGCTAAAAGTGACACCTACTGTTAACCAGAGAAACATTTCTAAGGTTTTAATTTCCGAGTCCATTGTAACGTAACTGCTGGAAAGGATGGCCTGGTCATTGGTGTCTCCTATAAAAGCCATCACGTAGGAACCTCCTGTTGAAATAGACCAAATAGAAACATATCTTATAGATTCACACAAGTCATTTCAGAGTGTACTACTTATAAATTATTATTTTGACTTTTCCAGTTATTTTTCAATATATACTTACTTAAGAACAGGACCAAGTTCTACATTAGTTAATTTTTAACTTTATACAAAATAACATTAATATTGAGGTATTTTCAGATGTAATTGGTTGATTGTATGTTTGAAGTTAAGCACAAAGCTACACAATGAGCTATCCGTGCTCTGCCCACCATGAGTATCGAAACACGGTTTCCAGCTTTGCAAGTCTGCAGACATACCGCTGTGCCACTGGGGGCAGGTGAAATTGATTTTCTTGACAGTGACGAGATAGGTCCGTAGAATAACAAAAGATTCGACAAAATAGTTATAACAGAGTAATTCTGAATAATTTGATTCTAACTCATAAACAATATTTTTAAACATAAAAACAGTGAGTGTTTTGTTTCAACACAAAGGACGATTGTCTTATATAATCATATAGCTGAAATCTATAGCGTCATACCTTCTTAGAGCGAATAGCGTTAGCCACGTGACTGGTCATTAATATTTGAAAATAAGACAGGTTGTAGCTTTGAGACATCACTTGGTCTACCATTAGAGAAAACCACTGTCATATACCCGTACCACCAAACATGCTTGCCCTTTCAGCCGTGGTGGCGTTATAATATGACGGTCAATCCCACTATTTGTTGGTAAAAATAGTAGCCCAAGAGTTGGCGGTGGGGGGTGATGACTAGCTGCCTTCCCTCAATTCCTTCACTGCTAAATTAGGGACGGCTAGCACAGATGGCAGTCGTGTAGCTTTGTGCGAAATTCAAAAACAAACCAAATCTAACAATTCGAGCTCGTTCGGAAAATAAGACTTTCTTCCATCAGGGACAGATGATAAATACCACTTTTTTCTGATGCACAATCACGGCTAAATTGTTGAGGGAATGTCTTTCTTCGTAGGACATTCTGTGAATTAATGAACTCAATAAAACACATACATTATGATTTTTTAAAAAACGACATTTACTTACCGTTTTGTTACTAGCTATTATTTTTCGGCTTTTGAAAATCAGATTGCTAATGTACACTAACACTGAGGTTCCTTTAAATCGTTGCCAGGATGAAAAAGCTCCACCTATGGCGTTTGCACATTTATTTTCTTAATAAGTAAACAAAGTGTTGCATGGGCTCTGCAGGTGATCAATTAATAGCTTAAGACTTTTTAAAACTAAAAAAAGTTAATAACGCAAGTCATTCAGGCTGAATGCACACACATACAAGTGAAAACAAAGTTTTCATTTTCAACAAAATGAAAAAACCTGTGCTGTTCTACCGACATAAACATGGAGCATGTTATGTACAGTGCGCATGCGCGCGTTAGGCAAGTCTGCACAAGGATCTGGGGGGGGGGGGTACTTATGGCCTTCTGAAAAAAAAAGTTAAAGTACACATTTATACTTGGGCGTCTGAGCTTTGAGGGGGACAAAAGATACCCGAAAAAAGTTGAGGGGAGCATGTCCCCTTAAACCCTCCAAACCATTCACCCAGTTTTAACGCTTACGTTGATTTAGGAAAGTCCATCTAACCAAAGTGCTTGGGTTGTTGGGTTTCTTCTCTAAAAGATATACTTGCCACCCTGATGTAGTGCTGAAATGCAGACTACCAGATTTTATTATGTCATAAGCGAATTGATCTATAGAGTTCATGTATGTTAAACGAAAATTACAGACTTGTTTTTATACCGTTTACTGCCAGTGATACCGATATATTGCACAATCTTACTATAATGGACGTAGTTTGTATGTATATATATGTGTGTGTGTGTATGAATCCGAAATAGTACAACAATGTGGCTCCATCTATTGAATATCATCACAAACAAAAATTCATAAAAAAACCACTTTGGGTATTCAAGATTCAGACAGTTAAGAAAATAACTACGGTATGTACAACAACTATTTCTTTTTCACGGAACATAATTTTAAATAAAAGTACTCTCCTCACCCCAAGAACACGACTTTCACCAGGACTATTCGTGAGGGTTTGATTATATCTTTATTGATGTAATTTGTAAATACAGTGATTAAAAAATGGAGTTATTAAAAAACTGTCATTTACAGTTTATATCAGCAATATTTGAACAATTTCCCAGAAAAATCATATTTTAAAAAAACGTTCACTTTTTCTAATTTTT